CTAGCACAGCGCTTATCATGGCGTGAGGATGATTTGTGCACATGCTCACCTCTGATGCTAGACTTTGAGATCCTAAACAGTCTGGATGGAATTTTGTGCATTGCAGATATTTGGGAGCTATTTCCTGGCAGAGACCCCTCAGGTGAGAGCTGTCTGAGGTCAGCCTTCAGATGCCCACCTCCCAAGTGGAGCTTTCCAGAGACCCACTAGAACTGTTTGTGGTCATCACTGCTCTTTTACTATGTAAATCTGTGTACTGTAATTTAAATGAAAAAGTTGTTTTTCATTGAAGATGATTTTCACCTTCTCTTGTGAATTAAGAGAAGCATGGGTTATACCCAAATAGTTACAATTTATGGAATAAGGAGTACCTAAAAGATGGTCTAAACAACATTATCTCAATAATCTTAGGATATATGCCTTCCCCATCTTTTCTGATAAAAGTTACATGATGGCTTTTTTATTTTCTAGGCTGACTCCTCCCTGGTTCGTCCCCATCTGGTAATCACATCTACTGTAGTCCCTGCTGTGGACATCTCCCTGCCCAGCCACCCTTTCTCAGCACTGTTCTCACCTCCTTCCCAGGGCCACTGCAACAACCGCTTCCCAGTCTCTGCACCCCATGGCTGACAGAGTGAGCTTTGACAGTGCATCCCTCCTCTGCATACAATTCCTCCCCAGCCCTCTCCTTGCAAGGTGAAGCCCACTCGTGGCTCATAGCCTTAAAGATTCTGTTACCTTTCCAGACTCTTCTTTTCCTTCCTCCTTGCACTTCACCCTCTGACAATACACTTCCTTCTGGTCTCCCAGGGCATGCCTGTGCACATGCCCAAGGGGCCATGCCTGAAGCCATCTCTGCATGGAATATTCTTCTTCTTCCTCCAAAGCCCTACCCAGAAGTACCTAGGAAGCCATCACTGACTCGTACTATAGCTCCCTTCACTACCTTGCACACACTTCTCGTCACAGAAGTTCTGTTCACACTGCAGCCCTTTGGGGCCCAAAGCATAGAATCGCCCCAGCTCATCTGTGGCAGATATTTTCTTGACTGACTGTGACTATGACAATACCTTTTTCACCCTACATGTTGTATATACAATGTGACTTTGACATTTGTTTCACTGAGGGGTAGGGTCCGTGTTACTTTCTTTTAAACACAGGTGGGCTTATAATTCTTTGACCAGTGGAAGGGATGCCAGGTGGTTTTGAGCCTGGGTCATAAAAGGTCATGTGGCTTCTGTCTCCTCTCCCTTCAGACACAGCCAGCCAGCAACCTGTGAGGAAACCCAGGCCACACAGGAGACCACATGTAGATGTCAACAGCCCCACCTAAGGCCTCAGCTGTCAGCCAGCTCCAACTGCCAGGCACTGTTCTGAGTGTGGAGCCCTTTGACATGGCTCCGGCCCAGCCACTGTCCAACTGCAACCAAATGACAGCCGTTGAGCAAGAACCACCTAGATGAACCCCGTCAATCCCCAGAACTGTGAGCGACAATAATCAAACACAATCAAATGACTATGGTTGTTTCACATCACTACATTTTGGGGTGATTTGTCATATTGTAATAAAAAACAGGAACACCATTTGTATATGATTGTAACTTCACTGTCTATACTAATTTGTGCTCTTTGAGAAGAGAGACCAGGGTTCATTTTGCTTCAGATGGCACATTCCCAGGCTTCCATGGGCAAATTTTTTAAAGCTTTGGTAGAGGGGTCCAGTGATTCTGGATACTTTTTTTAAACCTGTTTTTTAACCCTTCAGAACCTTGGTTTCCTCATCCCCAGATAAGGGCAATAGCTCAAGCCTGCCTATTTTTCCAGATAATGTTGAGTACACTTATAGCTTTGAACAATCAAAAGTACTTTAACTAGGGCTGTTTGGAAGTTCTGGCAGTATGCTGAATAAGCCGGACTCATATAATAAAATTAGAAAGCAACTTTGTGTCTATTGTCACAGGCACATTTTAAAGCTTTGGTAGAAGGGTCCAGTGATTTTGGACACTAACACCTGGGCAGAGTTAACAGGTTTCACTCGGTGTCCCTTCATATTGCTGGCCCCTCTTTATACCTTTCCTCCTTGGCCTCCCTTTTAAAATGAAGTCCACCCCTCCCACTTCCTCTCACCTGAAGGAGGACTTTGGGACATGACACATTCCTCAGGGTAAAAGAGTTCACCAACTGCTTTCCTTGCTGTCAAGAGTGAGTCTAGGGCCTCAAGAAACACCAGTTGCCAAAGAAGGCAGGAGAAGAGGTGCCATTGGTCCCTGGCTCACTCACCCTTTGAACTCTTAGTGACTGATAATTTGAGGCAAACCCAAAGGTTGCCAGGATGTGTCCCTCTGCTGAGGCTGGCAGCTGAGTCAAATGGCAAGGCTCATGTGTGGCGTGAGTCACTGGGCTGCAGACAAGGACAGAGTGCTGCCTACGCTCACGTGTCAGCAGAGCTTCTCTTTTCTTCCTGAGCCAATGATCAGGCCCACAGAAAAAGCCAAGTCCCTGGTGCTGGGGGTTAAAGCCTAAGAAATTGGTGGTTCTTAGAAGGGAAATGATAACATACTTAGTATTTACACATGTGGGGATTTGCAAAATTCTCTACACATGCCAAGTCCCAAGAGTCTCAGTGGCAAGGAAGATAAGGTTCACTGAGTTCTCAATGTTGGGAAAGCAATTCTGCCTTGTATGTTGGGAATGGAGGAAACTGTGTAGACTCACTGGGCTGCTTTTAGATTAGGGGTTTACCCTAGCTCACCTGCTTCTAGTTGAGCCCTTTGAAACTTGTCTTTAATCATTGCCAGTTCCTACCACCATGTCCCCATGGGCAGGTGAGAGGGACCAGGTTTCTTGCTTATTTCAACAGTGGGAAGGTGACTCTGGCTGAGGTGCTTCTGCCCATGGCATCATGGACTTGAGCTGGGTGATTCCTGGGTAACTGAGACAGTGTGGGTGGTAGCAGTGGGGTGAGACAGGCACTGAACACATCCACGGTCTGGGTTTAGCTAGTGCTACCACCTCTGGTATCTTCATCAGCAAAGTGTCAGCCTGTCAATATTATACAGACCTCAGTACATAGCAGTCAAACAACTTGTTCAGTAAGTTCAAATTAATGTAATATGATGTTATATTGGAAGTTTTGGCTGAAGCTCTGAGAAACAGCAAGTATTTCATACCAAGGAGAATTTGAAAAGATAATCCAAATGCTCATCTAATGGAGATATCTTAATGACACATTCACACCTGAGGTGTAAGTCGGTATGAAAGTGCACAGAGGAAGGCTGTTGTTAGAGGATTTCTTGGAGAGAGCTAATGGTATACCCTGCATCCTCCCAACCTCTTAGAGGGGAAAGAGGGTGGTAGGAATGCTTGCCTCCCACCTTGGGCCTGGAGAGATGGGCTTCAAGGGCCTGCCCTACAGAGCCATCAACTAAACCGAGGCTGAATTTTACACCTAAAGTCACTATAGGATTTTTAAAAATTATTATTTAAGTGTAAATAGCAATAGACACAAAGTTCCTTTCTAATTTTATTATATGAGTCTGGCTTATTTAGCATACTACTGAAACTTCCAAACAGCCCTAGTTAAAGTACTTTTGATTGTTCAAAGCTATAAGTGTACTCAACATTATCTGGAAAAATAGGCAGGCTTGAGCTATTGCCCTTATCTGGCAGATGAGGAAACCAAGGTTCTGAAGAGTTAAAAAAAATGGGTTCACTATCCCAGAGCAAGTCCTAGTCCCAGTTATGTTGACTCTTCTGGGTTGGTTTCCTTATCTGTATAGTCTAGTTAAGAATCACAGTTCTAAGCTATGCTCCAAACGATTTACCTGTGTGTAGATTCAGAATTCCATTTCAACTGCTACTCATGGTAATAAAAAACAAGTATAACAGGATTAAGCATGGGGTACCAATAGGAGAATTTCTGCCTCTTCCTTCCTCCTCATAAGTATATCAAGGCAAACTTCTGATGACCAGAATGAAAAGGAAAGCTGCATGTCTGAAGTACATGAAGAAAGTGCTATGCTCCATAAATTGGGAAACACGTCACAGTTCTCCTTGTTCGTTGATGTGGCAGAAACGTTTAAGCAAGGAGTTAATTGCCCAGAAAAACCCATGTTCCTCATTCTTGGAAAGACCTCCCACTATCATATCCACCTTACTGGGCCTTCAACCCCACCCACAGCCATTTTTCTCATTCTACATGTGTGACTAGGTAACTCCCTATCTGGGGAACAGTAGAGCTGGAAAAGGTGATGAAGAAGCTGCTGTAGGAATGACATAGGACAGGCAGCTAAATCTCCTCGCCCAATGCTGGGGCACAGGAGCCACCCAACTGCAAGCACATGGCTGTTGACCCACTTACTCATCTAGCTCACTCTGGTTTTACCTGCAGCTCGTAGGCTGGACAGTGCTATGCCTTTTCCACTAGATCCATAAGAAATGTATCAACTCACAACACACCGGATTGGTAGCCTTTGGTCTATAGCCCAGTTCAGAAGAAGTTGGATAAACAGTGGGTTGTTTGAGCTATATGACAAAAGCCTCTCCTAGCCTAATTGTCCTTGGGCTGAGAGATTTGCTAACCACTCCTTTTCTGCTTCCCCATCATAAGCTGACAAAAGAGCAATGCCAGGGTCATTGGTGAGTAATATCAGGGCCAAGTGATTGTCCAAAGATGGTGGTCACAAAGTAGGTGATCAATTGCACTATCCTCCAAAGTTTGGGGTATGTAGGTTATCCTTCATTCAGTATATGTTTTCTGTGAGCCAAGCCCTGTGCTAAGGACATTCTAGACAAAATCTCATTTATCATTACTCCCAATTTGCAGATGCGGAAACTGAGCTTCAGAGAATTTTTATGACTTGCCTGATATAACACAGCTGCTCAAGAAGAGTGAGGATTTGTGCATATATCTGTCAAACCCCATAGTGGCATTGTCTAGAGGGCCAGACCATAGTCCTTCCAATGCATCCTTCTCTGACCAACCCCAGCTTCCCCCTTACCCAGGGCCTTCATGTAGCCTTCAAAGTTGTCATTACTCTCCATCTCCCATGTTCCATTCTGGTCCCTTGTCATAGTGGCAGCCTTTAGATCAGTGTGGGCGTGTGGTGGACGTCAAGGAGCAGGCTGCAGAGAGAATGTGTTGGAATGAGTTGCTTTTATAGCCCAGTGGACCAGGTTTATGGTTCTAAAGATAATTGGTTCAAAGGTCATAAGCACAACTCAAAAGAACTTTCCTTTCCTTTGCAAGGTTCAGAGAGACTATGAGCAACTCAGTCACAAAGTTCTGATGTGGCCAGTTGTGTCCCATTGACCTCTACTATATACACAGTCCTAAAGCAGGTCATCTGGGGCTAGCGGGGCTCCCACTGAGCCCTTGATCTCAACCAGAATACTTCATTCATGCTGGAGAAAAACAAACATCCAGTGTCTACGACCCAAGTACATAGGTCACCAGTACATGGGACTCAAATTTGAAGCTGGTCAGCCATGTAGCCAGCACTCTGGCCAGGCTAGTGAAGCTGATTAGGTGGAACTCACACCTGTTGAGCTCTACTTTACTTTGTTCCAGGTACTATATATACTTCATCTTGTTTCGTCTTATAAGAGCTCCATGAGTTATGTTTAATCATTCCCATTTTACAGATAAGAAGGCTCATGAAGGTTAAGTCTCATGTCTAATAACAAGTTGTAAGTGACTGAGCCAGGATTCAAATGCAAACCTGTCTAGCTCCAAAGCCTTTTCCTCAATGGTTAGTTCAGCTTGGAAAGAGAGTCGAAGTCTGGCTTGAGAGCCTTACCAAGGAAGGTACCCCATGCATGGACTTCCAAACAGTAGGGTTACGTAAGAAAGGCATGTTCTGAGAACAAGAGACTCCTGTAAGGAGACAGAAGGACAGTGGGATTCTGTTCCAAGGCCCTAGGATCAAGCTGAGGATTACCTCAGCATAGCTGGTGCTTGGACAAGGACCCTTGATTCAGGGCTGTTCTCCAAATTGTTTGTCTCTGTGGGTCAGAAAATGGGTTGTTGCTCTGATATTTCATTGAGAGATGTCAGGTTGGAGTAGGGACCTCTACACTACTCTGAAGAATGGAGGCATGGGCTGAGATAAGATAGACCAATTTGATGGTGCCACCTGGAGGCTCTGATATATATATAGTCTTGTGATGTGAAATCTAAGTAAATGGCTCTGGCAATGTATGGTTTGAGGAATATAAACAGTATATTTGTTTTTCTGTAAATATACTGAAGCGAGGAACACAGAAAGAATAATGGCTCAGCTGTTGTCAAAAGACCAGTGAAGAATAAATGGAAGGAGCAAGAGATAACTTTACCACAAATTGAATATAAACGAAGGCAGAGGAATGGATAGGTAAGATACCTTGGGAATTCATCTTTTCAGGTCTAGTCAAAAGCTTCTGTAGGCTAAACATTTTGCCTCCTGGACTAGAAATGTGGGTATTCCCCTGTAGGCTCAGATTTCAGGACTTTTGCAAGTCTTTCTTGCTCCCAACAGAGTAGCCCCCTAGGCCTCCATTGGAAAAATGCAATGAAAAATTGGCCCGGTAGGGTAAAGGGTTGGGGACAAAAAAAGGTCACTAATTTCAGTAAGCCAGAGACTTGGATATTAATGGGTGTTAAGGAAGGAGGCATTGGTCCTGGTATAGGTATGAAGTTGAAACTGAGATGCCTCTATAAAGTCAGAACACTTGAAGAGTGTGAATTAGTCAAAATCTGCAGCAACAGACATGGGAAAGTTTGTCTGTGTGTCATGAAATTTATGTAGGTTGAAAAAAGTTCTGCCCTGTTCTGACTCTGCCTTGGGGTTTGAATTTATATTCTGCTAGTCAAGATATTAAAATAAAAAGAGTCCTGTGCTTGTAATGCTTTTTGTCTATGAGGAGGAAGTAAATGTAAAAACTCTATAAAGGAACACAACTTCAAACTGGTCCAACCAGAATTTTCTGTGGTAAAGCCACACCAAGTATGAGCTCATAATCTAAGATTGTAAGATATGCACAATACTAACCTACCAAGAAACATACAGTTTAATTAGATTTCCAAGAGTTTCAGATACTACAATGATCAGGTACAGACTACAACATGAGTACATTTAAAATGAATAAAGCAATTTAAAACCACTTAAAACCATGGAAAGGAAATAAAGTTATGTTAAAAAAAAAAAGGTTAAAAACAACCAGAATAGTTTCTAGAAACTAGAAAATATATCATTAAAATTAAAAAGGTAATAGATGGTATCAACAGCTGATTAAAGGTAACTGAAGAGAGAATTAGTGAAATGGAAGATAGAAGAGTCAAGGAAATTACCCATAATATATGTACTGCAGAATAAAATGTAGTGAAAATTCAAACCAAAATCAAAATAAAATTCTATAATCTTCTAGATAGAACAAAACAACCACACAATTACCTATAAGGGAGTAATGCAACAATCAGATTGACATTAGGTTTTTCAATAACTCTGACAGAATACAACAATGGAATAATATAATGATAAGGGAAAGTTTAAACAAAAATTCTAAACCCAGCCAACCATCATTCAAGTATGAAAGTATATGTAAAAAAGTTTCATACAATAGCCCCAATTTGGAAACAACCCAGGCTTACATCAACAAGTAGATGGATAAACAAAATGTAGTATATTTGCACAATGGATTTCTACTCAACAGGAAAAAGGAACACTCTTCTGATATATGCAACAACATAGACGAATCTCATAAATATGAGATTATGCTGAGGGAAAGAAGCTTAACACAGAGTATCATGTAGAATATGGTTCCACTTACACAAAGCTCTAGAGAAGAACATATCTAATCTACAGTGATATTAAAACAGATCAGTGCTTGGTGAGTATGGGTAGAGCAGGTGGGGGTAGAAAAGAGTATAAGCGAAATTTCTTGTGGGGGAGATGGAAATGTTCTATAGTTTGGTTGGGGTGGTGGTTATATGACAGTTGCCAAAACTTAAACTGTACCCTTGTTGTAAGCTCTCAACAAAACCCAGCTTTAGCATGCTTTCCAACCCAGATATGGGAGAGTGGGACAGGGAAGTGAGGCACAGTGGATGAGAAAGCAATTTCCACTCAACAACTCAGCTAAAATTTTCCCCTATCCCTTCCATTGAAGGACGGCCACTATCTTAGAGTTGGCAGCAGAGTCCCAATTTCAAAAGTCCTGTCCTAGGTACCCATCTCCCCTGCCTCTATCCACTCCTAGTAACAAACTATATTACCTGGATGTTCCAGTTTTTCAGTTGGCTGGGCAATTCCACTTTTGAACTTAATTACCTAAGTCTTTGTGGAATACCTGAGGTGACTCTTAAGACTGGGAAAAATCATTCACTAGACCAATCTTTCTTAGTGTAAAAACCTTTCTAAAGACCACATGAACAAATGCAAATATAGGTTTCTCTAGAGGCTTGAGTCTAAGACAAATTAGTCAGCTAAGAGTGAGCATAGGACAGACCCCCCAGGCATTTACCTGAAGACCTCAGGAACATCTCACTGCTAGCTGCTGAACTCCTGGACTGGCTCCCTGTAGCCCTATGCCGTCTCCCTGGCCCAGGCCTGCCCAGGCTCGCCTAGCTCTGGCTTGGTTTCTCCTCCCTCCTGGAGTGAGTGAGAGTTTCCTTAGCAGGCAAAGGGCTGTCAGTTGGATGATCACTTACCTCATAAGGAGGGTTTCATTTCTTCCCTTCCCTTAGACGATGCCTCTGTGATATCCACATGTAGCCCAACTAGATGAGCTATCAGCTTTGTCTTTACTTGGAAGCACCAGCAAGAAGAGGGCTTGAGAGTTCCTTTAGCCACCAGGTAGTGCTGGGTCTGACTTGTTTTTCATGTGAATCATGCCCCTTCTTTACTTTTGCTCCCAGAAAGCAGGGCAGAAGAGCAGAAAGGCACAAACCCTCATCCTTTCCAGAGCTATAGGGATTAAATTACTCTTGCCCAGGAAAGGGCCCTTTGTAGTCCCCTTGTCCTCCTCCCCTTCCTCCCACCCTCTTACAACTGTCAGGAGTAGATAAATGAGCAGCAGGGGTCAATCCAAACAACCTCTTCCTAAGGCGACTGTCCCTGACTCTCCTCTAAGGATCTTTGGAATGTCCAATCCCACTGCATGGAAACGCCTATCCCCTGACCCTTCCTTCCATCAGAACCAAGGAATGTCTGACATTTTCTAGATTAGGCAAAGTTTGTTTATTTACTGCCTCTGTCCTTAAGATTAGGGACCACTTTCTGTTTGTTTATCATAATATCTCCAGTGCCTAGAAAATTGTAGAAGAGGAATATATGAATGTTTATGGAACCAAGACTGCTTTTCATGAGTGTGAGTCATGGAGGGACTTTCAGCTACAGAAAGTCCCAATGGGAGGGACTTTCAGCTACAGAAAGTCCCAATTTTCTGCATTTGCTAAGGATGAGAGGAGAGAAGGCCTATGACCTACCAGCAGCCTTTCTTTTAAGATTTCAAATTAAATGAAAGCATTGGTGAGTTAATCAATTAGATATTCATCCATATACTTTCCCACCATTTATCAAATGCCATTTGATGCATTAAAATCAATAAAGATGTGCTCATTCAAAAGTTTTTATTATATAGTATTTTATTTCTAATAAGTGTTTTGATCCATGATTAGAATAAGAATCATGACCTTTGTGGAGTATACAGAGCACTTGTCCTGGCTTATTCATTTAACTCTCTCAGTAACCCTTCAAGGGGGGACGTCACTGAATTCCCACTTAGAGTATGATGAAGATAAAGTTCAGAAAGGTTAGGTGTCTTCCCAAAGGTCACACAGCTAGTAAAAGGTATACTTAAACCCAGTAACTTCTGTCAGGCTGATTAGTCCTCATTTTCATATGGAAGAAAATAATATTTATCTCTTAAGGTAGTGTTGAGGATTAATTTGGACAATGTGTGAGAGGAGTTTATTACAATGATTCTCCACCTTTGGTCCTGTCTGAATCACTCAGTGAAGTTTATAAAAGTGCAAGGCCAGGGCCTGTGCTACTTCAGGGATCCTGGGGCTCTGTGTGCTTTTTCATCTCCCCAGGTGACTCTGATCCCCACTGGAGTGGGAGAACCACCAGTGCAACACATTACATACACTAAATCGTGGGGAAGCCAGAAAACAAACAAGCAAGTACGAAATTCCCATGGGGCTCAGGGGTAAAGAGAGCAGAGTGTGGCCAAAGATACAAGGCCAGAGAAAGTGTCAGTATTGTGTTTTCCCCCCAGCACCCCACATTCTGCAGGTGCTGCTCCAGGGACCTGGGAGACCCAGGCCTCTGGGACAGGTATTAGTCATAACCATAGGCATGGCTATCCTCATGACCACGGCAGCCTCAGGGAAGCCAACGGGGAGCATGTTCCTGTGTTTGGATCAACTCTAGGCTCCTGGCAAAGAGCACTGGTCATGCTGCCCTTCACCAGGACGATTGCCCGCCCTTGCCAAGGATGTAAGTTCTTTCCCAGCTGAACACCCCCATAAAGCCTTTGGAGTCAGGCAAATCTGTCCCCATGGCTGATAAGATGTGGGGCCCTCCAGTGCTAGTCAGGCTGGGGTCTGAGCCATCAGATATACCTTTACCTGAAGGCCCCAGCAGGAAAGTGTTTGGGGCTTCTCTCAGATCACACCAATGCTGTCAGTTGGCCCTTAGCTTAGTTTTTCATGTAAATTATGTCCCATTTTTACTTTTGCTCCCAAAGGTGGGGGCAGGAGAGTAGGGAGGTCACAAACCCTCTCTTCCAGAGCCACAGGGACCAACTTGCTCTGGTCTAAGAGAAGGGGGTCCTTTGCAATCCCTTTTTCTTCCTTGCCCTCTCCTCACCCTCTTATAACAGTCAGGATAGGTAGTGAGCTGGCAGTGGTCAATCCAAATTTCCTCTTCTAAGGGAACTATCCCTGCCTCACCTCCAAGGATTCTTAGAATGCCCTTGGCAATCCTACGCAGTGGAAAATACGATTCCCTGACTTTTCTTTCCACTAGATCTGAGGAATGTCTGACATTACATTCAGCATATCATGGAAATATTTACAAATCAGCACATATAATCTACTTCATTCTTGTTTATTTGTTTATCTATTAGCATTTTATTGGAGTTTTGAATAAGTAGCATTCACATTGTTCAAAATTCGAGCTCAAATTCAATTTGAAAGATACATGTGTAATGAAACGTTTGGTTCCCCTATGTGGATTGGCTCCCGCCACTGTTATTCCCAAACAGGAAACTATTTACATTAATTTCTTGTGTTTTCTTTCTAGAATTTCTTTATACACATAAAATCAAATATGAAGATATTTTGTCCCCCTTGCCTTTTTATCCAAACAGTAGAATACAACAAGCTTGGGTCCACATTTTGTATTTATTTAATAAATCATGGCAAACTTTCCATGTCAATGCAAAGGAGTTTCCTCATTCTAACTACTTTGTGACATCACTCTGCTTACAAGAGCCATAGTGTTTCATTCAGCCCCTCAGTTCCCTGTTGTCAGTCACTTGGGTTGTTTTTCTATTACTTGTAATTACAAACAATGCTACTTTGATATATCTTGACCATGTATGTATCTTTGCACACATTATGTAAATGTCAAAGTGGTTTTCATGTGGGTTGCCCCAGTGTGTGAGAGTTCTTATTTTTTTCACATTCTTAAGAGAACCATGAGTTCACCATGAATATTATCAAAATGATTTAAATCTATTTGCCAACAGATTGGTTTACAAAAATGTATTTTGTTTTAATGTGAATTTCTTTGATTACAAACACAACTGAGCGTATTTTTAAATGGTTGTGAACTATTTTTCTTTTCTGTGAGCTACCTTTTCATGTCCTTTGTTGATTTTAAATTGGATTGTTAATCTTTTTAAATTGATTTAACCCTTCCCAATCCAAATTTTCTGCCAAGTACTTACTTGGCAGTCTTTATCTATTTTGGGGGGGAAAGAAGTTGGTGGATTATTGGTAATTATCCTACAGTTTAAAAATAGAAAAACAACACAAATTATGAACTCACCTGGTTCATAATTATGTTATGTTATGTTATAGATTATGTTATCTATTTTAGGTTATACAAAATAAATTGTTTCTGTTTATTTTTGTTTATAAGCAACAACAAAAAAGTCATTATCTCAGTTGAGGTCTGACATAGGAGCAGAAAGCGTTAAAGAGCATTACATATATTAAGAGTTTTTATGTATTTAATTGATTTAAGTAACTTTTTATATATAATACATGTTAATCTTATTATATGATTGTTAAAAATATTTTCCCCAGTTTCTTGTTTGCTTTTGAACTTTGTTATACTTTTAAATAGTTTCTTTTTTTAAATTACTTTTTCTTCTTTTTTTAAATTAAATGATAGCTGTATACATTAATGCAATCATGGGGTACAGTGTGGTGTTTTCATATACAATTTGAAATTTTTTTTTTTGTTCAATAAAGTTTTATTTTTCCAAATATACGGTTGGTTGGACCCTGTTCATGCATCTTCACCAGCAGCTGGGGCATCTCCACCCTTGGTATTTCTGGTGTAAATTACTTGAGCTCTGTGCTTAGAAACCAGTTTGATAAGTCCTTTACTAAGGAGCTCCTGAAGGGCTGCCCTGGCCAGGGAACCTCGAATCTTCAGTCTCTCAGAGACCACAGCTGGAGTGATAAGCTTATAGTTGGGAATTTCCTTACAGAGTTTGTCATATGTAGCTTTGTCAAACAAGACTAGGTTGTTGAGCTTGTCCCGAACTTTGCCCTTGGACCACTTCTTCTTTTTGGCCTTGCCTCCAGATTTGTTCACTGGGTCTTTGTGTTTCTTGGCCGACTTTCCGGCGTCTTTCTTCTTCTTGTCGTCCTTGGGTGGCATTGCGAAGCTAGGAGAGGAGCTGCCACTACCGCAACCTAGCTAAGATGTTGGACCCAATTTGAAATATTTTCATCAAACTGGTTAACATAGCCTTTATGTCATTTTCTTGGTTATTGTGTTAAGACGATTATATTCTACTCTTAGAAAGATTCACTTGTACCCTTGTAAGATAAACCATAGAAGTGATCCCTCCAATCACCCTCCCTCCATCCATCCCCCCTTCCCCCCCATAT